GTTCCCAGTTCCTCCCAATGTCATCCACAGGATGCCGCAGTGTCCCCCAGTCTTCCCTGCAATATCCCCGGTGTCCCCAGTTTCTCCCAGTATCACCCAGTGTCACTCCCAGTATGTCCCAGTGTCTCCCACAGCGTTCCCAGTGTTCCCCAGTATGTCCCAGTCCTCCCCAGTGTTTCCAAGGACAGTTTAATTTCTCTCGGCGGCCGTGGCAGCCAAACCCAGCAGTGGGGTCAGTGCAGTGCCCATGGCCACAGCCCCTTGCAGTGGCCCAGTGCAGCTTGGGCTGATGATCCACCCTCACAGCTGGCCCAGGGCAGCTCTGCAGTGGCTTTGGTGGCACCTGGGGCTGGCACACACCTGAGCAGTGTGTCTGTTTGCAGTGGGGAAACTCAGGAGGTTCAGATTGCTTCAAAAAATCCCAAAAAGTGAAAACGCCTCTTAGGCTGAGTGCAGCCAGCTCTGCAAGCACAGCAGGTCCCAGGGGAGTGAGGACAGACAGGATGGGGCTGGGCAATGTGGAGCAAGGTTGTCACCACTGGGTCAGAGCTCAAGGCACAGCTCCTGTGAGCAGGCCAGAGCTGCTGAGGAGAGACCCTGGGTCAATATCAATCACAGAATGCTGCAATCATCTCTGATGTAAAGAGAAATAAATTAAAATACTTCATTTCAAATAGGAATGTGTATTTCCTACAAGTTCTTTGAAATCTTTCCCAATAACATGACTAGCAAAAATTTAATGATCCTCACAGGGCATTGATGTTGTTTACATCAGACTCAGTGACTGAGAGTGACTTCAAAAAACTTCTCAAGAACTCAAAGTTGAATTGAAACTCCAAAGTTCCTTGAAGTTTTAATGGGTCCCACTGAGGGACATGACTGAGAAAGTGTCCCCAGGTTCCAGTTAGAGCAGAACACTGGAGGCAATGATGACAGCTGGGGACAAACAAGGCCGAGGTGTCTCTGGTGCTGAGCAAAGCTGGATGTGTTTGAGGAATGCAAAGGGCCAAGGCCTGAGCCCCAGCCCCTGGCCAGGCCGATGCTGTCCCTCCCTCCTTGCTCAGGGCTCTTGCCGGGATGGGCACTGGCATGTGGGGATGTGCAATGGCAAGGGCAGGAGCATGGGACGGCCCCTGCCAGGCTGCTGAGCAGGGACAAGGAGGCAATGAGGCCCCGGGCCTGCAAGGGTCGCTTGTCTCCGGCTCCTGCCTCAGGCCCAGGCCCAGCAGCCATGGCCAAAGTGCTGCCCAAGTTGGCTCTGCCAGGGCTGTCTTGCAGCTGCTGCACATGCCTGTGCCCTGTGCAGCCCAGGCTGTGCTACGGTGTCCCTGCCCTGCGCCTCTGTCCCTGCAGGCTGTCGGCATCCCCCGGCTGCCCCACCTGGCTGGCCCCTTCCTTTGCTGACAGCTCTGCCTCCTGCCTGCCTCTGCCTGCCCACACAAAGCCTGGGGCTGATACCAAAAGGGTTCATTCCATGTTGACCCTGCCTGTGAACTCTCAGCACAGGAACAAGTCATGCAGGGGCTGCTTCCCCAGCAAGGATGGTTGGAAGAGAAGAAGAAGACATCTGGCTCAAGGGTGCAGGGATAGAGAAAACAAGGAGTGAATCTGGGAACTTGGAGTGGGTTTTTTGGAAGTGGGTAAATTGTAATTCATATTTAGGGTCTGTATATAAGGAACACCCTGGTACAATTACATGTACACATGTGGTTAGGAGTTATCCCATGTTGCACCTTAAGCCTGAATAAATGATTCCCTCTGAAATAGCAAATTAGTGGTCGGGAGCCTTATTCTGATATTTCAGAGATTTGGTGATAGTGGTCCCTCACAGACCCAAGGAGTCAGCTGTGACACTGTGCAAACTCATGGAACAAAGGGTCCATGGTGACACAGCAGAACCCCACAGAACCAAAATCCATTTTGGCACCTTGGGGCCGCATTAAACCAATGATCCATTGTGATGCTGTGGATCCAAGGAGACCATTGTGACCTGAGAAACCTCTTGGAACCAAGGGACCATTGTGACGCAGGAAGGCCTGGTGGAACCAGGAGCCAGGAGCAGGAGACAAGTGACCCTTGCTGGCCCGGGGCTTCATTGCCTCCTTGTCCCTGCTCAGCAGCCTGGCAGGGGCCGCCCCATGCTCCTGCCCTTGCCATTGCACATTCCCACATGCCAGTGCCCACCCTGGCAAGAGCCCTGAGCAAGGAGGGAGGGACAGCATCTGCCTCGCCAGGGGCTGGGGCTCAGGCCTTGGCCCTGTGCATTCCTCAAACACATCCAGCTTTGCTCAGCACCAGAGACACCTTAGCCTTGTTTGTCCCCAGCTGTCATCATTGCCTCCAGTGTTCTGCTCTAACTGGAACCTGGGGACACTTTCTCAGTCATGTCCCTCAGTGGGATCCATAAAACTTCAAGAAACTTTGGAGATTGATTGTGACTTTAAATTCTTGAGAGATTTCTTCAACTCTCTCTCAGGGACTGATGTTCAGGGACTCAGCACACAACCCACAAGAGAAGTCCTTGTGCAGTGTCTCTGCTGCTGGGCTGGACCAGGCTCCTGGCACAGAGGCAGCTCCTGGCAAGGGCAGCAGAGCTGCAGAGTGACAGCTCTGGCCAGGAGGAGCTCCTCTCCCAGCCCAGCAGGGTTGGGGCTCTGCCTGCAGCCACCCGGGCACAGCACAGAGGCACAGAAAGAGCAGAGGCAGCCTGGGCTGGGAGGGTGATTGAGCTCTTGCCAGGGGACAAATTTTCCCAGGGTTTGAATGAATAATTCTCTGCCTCTAGGAAAGTTAAACTTCCATTCCTGGAGGCTTCTCCTAAGGCTGGCACATCCCACAGTTTCCATGATCTTTTGCAAGCCCTCACCCAGTTCTTCCTCCTCTGCAGAGGAGGCGGCCATAGGGCAGACAGGGCAGTACCTGCAGGCGGCAAGGGCAGGCAGCACAAGTGACAAAGAGGTTAAAGGGGTGGGGTGGGCGGACAGGAGAGACCACATCAGGGGAGAAATCTGCACAGCCCCTGGACACGGTGAGTCTCTGGCTGCAGAGCAATGCAGGTGAGTTCCTGGAAGTGTCTGTGACAATGCCAGCACTGACAGGACCTGTCAGGATGGCTCTCCTGGATGTCCTGGTATGGAGCAGAACAAGCTCCAGAGCGAGGCTTCCCTGCTGCCCCCTCAGAGGCACAGGACAGGTCCCTGCAGGGACAGGCAGAGCTGCCCCAGGGCCGTGGGGTGGAGATGGGCTCTGTGAGCCCTGGCAGGGAGCGGAGGTGGGCACAGCGAGACGCTGCTGGCAGCAACAGCCCCACTCAGCAGAGACACGGGCAGGGAGGGACAGGGAGCTGCTGCCACAAATGCTGGCCTGGGGGATGTGGCACCTCCCTGCTGTCCCTGTGGCTCAGGCACCTTCCCCCAGCAGCTCCTCCCTGGGCTCCTTTCCCATCCTAAACAGAGCTCCTGCCCTCATCCCACAGGGGCTCGGCTGTGCAGAGCCCCTGCAGCAGCCAGAGCCCAGGGAAGGAAGGACAAGCCCCTGATTTCCATCAGTCTCTATGTCCCTGCTGTCCCCTGGCAGGAGCATTGTGACATTTCTCTGCCATCTCCAGGTGCCTGTGCTGTCCTTGTTGCCACCATTGGGGTTTCTGAGGCAGAGCCAGGGTTTGGGGCTGGCAGGTGCCCGTCCAGGCAGGGACCCTTTGGATCCTGCTGCAGAGATGTGTCTGTGGGAGCAGAGTGCCCAGGTGCCCTCAGGGCCGTTCAGCTCATTCCCTGGGTGTCCTGCAGGGCTGCAGGATGCTCTCCAGAAGGGCACAGCTCTCCTGTGCTGTTTCTGGGCTGCCTGGGATCCCCATGGAGGAGACAGCTCAGTGGCAGGGCCAGGGAAATGCTGCTGGGCAGCTGCACCTGGGCACTGCAATGATCCCTCTGTGCACCAGCCTGGCAGGAGACAGCTGAGATCCTCATGAGGCACTCTGGGAGAAGGCGAGGGCTCTCTCCATCTGCTCTCTGCCCAGAGCCCTCTGCCCTCAGCACTGCCCTGTTTCTCTGAGGGGAACTCCTCTGGGTGCCTCTCCTTCAGCTCCAAGCTGCCAGCAAGGGGCAGCTGAGAACAGCCCTGATGGGCAGAGCTGCTCTCTTGTCCCTGCACTGAGAGTCCATCCCTGTGCCTCTCACACCCACACGGTTTCATCTGCAGTGCTTTAGAAATGTCAGGGATTTCAAACACTCACAACCACTCCTAACTGTGGCAGGTGCAACTGGATGAAAAAAGACAAGGAATTTCCTCAGCTCAGTTCTTCAGACGGGCAAATTGCAAACAGCAGGACTGAAAAGCTTTCTGGTGTTTCAGGAGTCCATTTAATTGGTGATCACCCAGCCTTCTCAGTTGCCTCTCACTGAACAAAAAGAAGGAATCCTCTGGAGCCTGTTTGGGAGCCCCTGGTCTCAATGCCTGAAAAACCCAGGTCCCAGGTGAGGAGAATGCAGAGAAGTGGTTCCAAAAAGAGAGATCCTGAATGTTGAATTGCTGTAGGATATGCAATATATCTTGCTCTGTGTTGAGCCCGGCTCTGTCCTGCCTTTTCCTCCTCAGCAGAAAACCATTTCCTAAGGCAGCAAATGTTCAACAGCAGCTCCATCAGGCACTTCCTCCTGCTGGCATTGGCAGACACGCGGCAGCTGCAGCTCCTGCACTTCTGCCTCTTGCTGGGCATCTCCCTGGCTGCCCTCCTGGGCAACGGCCTCATCATCAGCGCCGTAGCCTGCGGCCACCACCTGCACACGCCCATGTTCTTCTTCCTGCTCAACCTGGCCCTCAGCGACCTGGGCTCCATCTGCACCACTGTCCCCAAAGCCATGCACAATTCCCTCTGGGACACCAGAGACATCTCCTACTCAGGATGTGCTGCACAGGTTTTCTTCTTTCTCTTCTTTATCACAACAGAATTTTCCCTCCTGACCATCATGTGCTACGACCGCTACGTGTCCATCTGCAAACCCCTGCACTACGGGACCCTCCTGGGCAGCAGAGCTTGTGCCCACATGGCAGCAGCTGCCTGGGCCAGTGCCTTTCTCAATGCCCTGTTGCACACAGCCAATACATTTTCCCTGCCCCTGTGCCATGGAAATGCCCTGGACCGGTTCTTCTGTGAAATCCCACACATCCTCAAGCTCTCCTGCTCCAAATACTACCTCAGGAAAATAAAAGTTTCTGTTTTCACTGTCTCCATAGCTTTTGGTTGTTTTGTGTTCATTGTTTTTTCCTATGTGCAGATCTTCAGGGCTGTGCTGAGGATCCCCTCTGAGCAGGGACGGCACAAAGCCTTTTCCACCTGCCTCCCTCACCTGGCTGTGGTCTCCCTGTTTTTCAGCACTATCGTGTTTGCTCACCTGAAGCCCCCCTCCATCTCCTCCCCATCCCTGGATCTGGCAGTGTCAGTTCTGTACTCGTTGGTGCCTCCAGCCCTGAACCCCCTCATCTACAGCCTGAGGAACCAGGAGCTCAAGGCTGCAGTGTGGACACTGATGACTGGATGGTTTCAGAAACAATAAACTGCTGGCCAGTTTCTGCAAGTCACTCCTCATAAGAGTCATCTTTGATAGTACTTGGGTTTGGTCGTTTGTTCTTTTTATTCCTTTGTTTTAGTTTTTAAATATTGTCCACAAAGGCATGCCATTGTTTGTGCCATTTCTCATTTTGTTTCTCTCCATCTTCCCTGTGGCCACAGATTGTACCAATAAGGTCCTGTGCTCTCAGTGGCTTTAAATAAACTAAAGGATCTCCCAGAAAAGTTTTCTGCAGAGATACCCATTTCCTTGCCTACTATGGACCTGCAGCAGCAATGTCTGTGTGCAGAGCTGGGGGTATGTCAGGGGCTGCACAGCAGCTATGCTCCTGCTGGCCACACCACTCCTAATCCAGGCCAGGAGCCATTGGCTTTCTTGCCCACCCGGGCACAGTGCTGCCTCATGTCCAGCCTGCTGTCCATCAGTGCCCCAGGTCCCTTTCTGCCTGGCCGCTGTCCAGCCACTCTGTCCCCAGCCTGTAGCGCTGCAGGGGTTGTTGTGGCCAAAGTGCAGGACCTGGCACTTGGTTGTGTTCAACCTCACCTTGTTGGATTTGGGCCCTGGATCCAGCCTGTCCAGGGCCCTCTGCAGAGCCCTCCTACCCTTGAGCAGATCCACACTCGCACTCAACTTTTGATATCCCTTGCTTCATGGGCCCCTGGAGTGTCACAAGGGTCTCCATGATTCCAGGAGGTTCCACAGAGTCACAATGGCCTCTTGATTCTAAAGGGCCCCTCGGTTTCACAGTGTTCTGTGTTCTCCCTGGACCCCGCAGTGTCACAATGGCCTCTTAGTCCCAAGGGGCATCACATTGTCAAAACTGTTTCCTTCATTCCATGAGTGTGCTCAGTGCAAAAATGGGCTCTTTGTTCCATGGGGCCCTGCATTGTCAGAATGGCCCCATTGTCACACAAGGCCGCACAATGTCACAACAGTCTCCTCATTTCTACAAAGCCACACAGTGTTACAACAGTCTTCTGAATTCCATGAGGCGGCAGAGTCCCAAAATGGACTCCTTGGTTTGATTTAGCCCTGCACTGTGAGAAGAGACCCTTGGTTTTATGATGCCACGCAGTATCACAATCATCACAGAATCACAGGCTGCAAAAGACCTTGGAGATCAGCAACTCCAACCTGTGACCCAACACCACCTTGTCACCCAGACCATGGCACTGAGTGCCACATCCAGTCTTTCCATAAACACCTCCAGGGACAGCTCCAGTGAGTCCATCAGCTCCCTGGGCAGCCCCTTCCAATGGCCAATCGACTTTTCTGTGAAGAACCTGTTCCAAATGTCCAGTCTAACCCTCCCTTGGCACATCTTAAGCTGTGTCCTCTTGTCCTGTCACTGTTCCCTGTCAGAAGAGCCTGATCCCCCCTTGGCTGCGCCCTCCTGTCAGGGAGTTGCAGAGGGTGAAGAGGTCTCCCCTGAGCCTCCTCTTCTCCAGGATAAACAACCCCAGCTCCCTCAGCCACCCCTCATAGGACTTGTGTTCCAGACCCCTCACCGGCCTTCTTGCCCTTCTCTGGACACGCTCCAGCCCCTCCATGGCCTTCCTAAATTGGGGGCCCAGGAATGGACACAGCAGTAGAGGTGTGGCCTCAGCAGTGCTGAGTGCAGGGGAAGAATCACTGCCCTGCTTCTGCTGGCCACACCATTCCTGATCCAGGCCAGGAGCCATTGGCCTTCTTGCCCATCTGGCTCAGCAGGTCCCCAGCTGCTTCCTTCTGGATTTCAGGGGGGCTGTTCTGCTCCCTGTGCCCATCCACCAGCTCAGGAGAACACTTGTCCTGAGGGCAACCTGTCCTAATGTTGAAAACTGGGGCAAAGAAGGTGTTAAGCAGCTCAGCTTTTCCTTATCCTTAGTTACTCTACTCCTCACTGCATCCAATAAAGATTAGATGTTCTACTTATCCGTCCTTTTGCTATTAATTTATTTTTAAAAACATTTTTTAATATTTTTCACAGAAATGGCCTGGTTAAGATCTAATTGACCTTTCACCACTCTACTTTTCCTTCTGCATGACCTAACAACATCCTTAAACACTTCCTAAGATGCCTGATCTTCTTTCCAATGCTGATTCACCCTCTTTTTTCCTGAGTTCCCACAAAAGTTCATGCCCAGCCAGGACAATAATTTTCCTCTCTGGTTCAACTTCGGCACAGAGGGACAGGCTGCTCCTTCCCCCTTAAGATTCCTTTCTTGAGGTGTATCCATCCTTCCTGGACACCTTTGTTTTTAAGGGCTGTTTCCCGTATAAAATGAGTACCTGATTCAGTACTCTCCAAATCTGCATCCTGAATCCAAGGTCTGCCCTCCCTAATTCCAGTGATAAAGTTTTGTTGCTGCCCCTACTTCTTTCACAGAATATTGGAAACTTGATTATTTCATGGTCACTGGACGGAGGCAGCCTTCAACCACCATATCTCCCACCAGCCCTTCTCTGTTTGTGAACAGCAGCAGACAGAGCTTTCCTTGGGAGTGGGATTGTTACCAAAAATTTGGCACAATAATATAACTCCATTATCCCAGTGTAGCATTAAGAAGCAGCATTCTTTATTTGGCCAGATGCACAGGGGGATAGCTCTTCCCAAAGCCATGCATGCAGAAGGCAGGAAAATTTCTGTTTATATTCTGTATTTTGCACACATATTCATTGATTTTCCTGAACTAAACAAACGTATGATAATCATGTCTCCAAAATCATTAACATATGTCCCCTCCCCTTTTGCATGCATTCTCCTGTCCTGGGGGGTCTCTGGTGGTCCCTGGTGCTCATGGACCCCAATGTTCCAGTGGGCCTGGCTGAGATGGCAGGACACTGAGGCTGGTGAATTTCAGTTCTCCTTCTCACACAATGGGCATTGTGTGGTTTCCACAGGCCTGGGGTTTTGGAGAACCAGCATTGTGTGTGTTCACCTGGTGTAGACAATTTATCATCTGGTAACATGAGATCACAGAGTGGGCTATGACATTACAGAGTGAGTTATGTGATGTCATCAAGCAGCTACGGCATCATAGGCTGTCTCTGTGACATCACAGAGCCAGCTGTGAAACCACAGGGCAGAGGTCAGACATCATAGAGGAGATAATGACAACACAGAGTCGGCTGTGACATCAGAGACCATCTGTGTGACATTGATAATGAGTTGTGACATCACAGAGCAGGCTGTGACATCACGGGGAGGGGGTGGGAGCGTGACGTCACAGAGCGGACTATGACACCAGAGGGTTGGCTGTGACATCAGAGACCATCTGTGTGACATTGATAATGAGTTGTGACATCACAGAGCAGGCTGTGACATCACAGGAGATCTGTGTAAAGTCACTGGGTTGGTCACTCTGCCCCAGCTCCCCCTAACAGTTTCCCTCCAGAAGTCCAATGCTGCTCATGCCCAGCAGGGTCCCTGTCCCCCCGGTGTAGTAAACACCACAGGTTCAGCAAAGGAGCCATGAAGGATCTGAACAATAGGAATGCAGACACAGCAGCAAAGAAGCTTCCTGACTCCATGGACATCTGCCCTATAACCTATCCCTATAGCCATGTAAGTCAATATCTTGTTAACCCTACTATTGGTCACTTATGGTCCCTCTAACCCTTTGCCATTGGTCAAGATTGGATTGGGGCCAAGGCTATAAAAGTAGCATATTGTACCCCTACTAACTTAGAAGAAGAAGAAGAAGAAGAGCTGAGATCCTTCACGGACCCCTCCAATAAAGCCATCTTTGTGGAATGGCCAGTGTCTTCTTCTTTCTCCTCTCTTTCCGTCTGCTGAAGCCTCAAGCCAAGGGCAAGCTGCCTAGCAAGCAAAGCTGAAATCATAAGAGCTGGCTAATCACTATAAGAGCTGAATATCCCCCTGCTTGCTAGGGGCTGACCCGCGACCTTGATCTAAGCGAGCTGGCCTCTGGCACTCCGTCCCCTTGGGGGCTGAGCTCTGGAGCTGTAATACCTTGCCCTAGGATAAGACCAATTAAGGCTTCATTACCCCGGAATCCCCCCAGCCCACCTAAAGGCACAGCCCCCCTCAAGGATGTTCCTAAAGATCAACCCCAAAAGCTGACATGAGGACAAGGGGCAAGGGCCGGGTGACCAGGACATCCGGGATGTGGATTATCCAGGTCACTGGGGCCTGGTTTGGGGTCCCAGGACAGGAAAGATGTCTGGCAGCTGGAGCAGGGCCTGGGAAGGGCCTCCAAGGTGAGACTGGAGCCCTTGGGCTGTGAGCAGAGGCTGAGGGAGCTGGGCTGGTCCAGCCCAGAGCAGGGAAGGCTGAGGGGCTCCTCATCCCAACCTGGCAGTGCCAGCCAGGAGGGGATGGAGAACACAGAGCCAGGCTCTTCACCGGGGGGCCTGGGGGGAGACAAAAGCCAATGGGTGGGAGGGGAAAGAGGGGAGATCAGCCAGGACAGGAGGAGATGAAATGAGTCAGGCTGGTTTCAGCATTTTCTCAACACCAAAAGCAGCCTGAAACCCTTCTCCATGTACCACTGACAGCTTTGCAAATCAGGAACTGTTCAGGCTGCTTTGCCCCTACTCCAGGATGGGCATCCTGATACAAGAACTTCACTGTGTTTATATCTATCACAGAAACATATTTTTCTAAAAGATATTTTAGTATGGAAATCACTTGCGGATGGTGGACATGTCAGACGCTGCTGAGACCATGTACATGGCTCAGGGAAGAGCATGATTGTTATTGAATTGTGTCCTGTTCAACCATGGTCTGTTGGCCATAAAGAGAAACTTTCTCTGCTCTGAGTCCCACCAGTTCCTGACCGCCAAAGGACACAAACCTGGTGAGTTCTGGCTCCCACTCCAGTGGTGGCACTTGCACCTCCCTCCATCCCCAGAGCAGAGCTCCCTTGTCCCAGAGAGTCCCTGGCAGTGCAGGGATGAAGGAAACAGGACAGGCTGTGGGGATCAGGGGCAGGGCACAGCCAGGGATTTGGGGTGGTTGTGAGCCCAGGGCAGGACGTGGCCCTTGGCCTTGGTGAACCTCATCCCATTGTCCTGGGCCAATGGCTCCAGCCTGGCCAGATCCCTCTGCAGAGCTTCCTGCCCTCCAGCACAGCCACACTGCCACCCAGCTTGGGCTCACCTGGGAACTGACTGAGGGTGCCCTCGATGGCCTCATCCAGATCAGCAATAAAGAGATTTCACTCACCTGGCCCCAATCCTGAGCCCTGGGAACACCCCTGGATGTGACTCCATTCCTCAGCTGCTCTGAGTGACAGGGGTTGGATGAGGGAAATGGTGGGGAGGGGGTAGAGACAAAATGTGATTGATTGCCAGCCATGAAGGGTCTTGATTTTCATATCTGTTCAGACTGCATGAGGAGGGGCTGGGGATCAATATCTACTGGGGATTGCTGATACCAATCTATAAACAGGAAAAGAAAACTAAACACGACTAAATAATTCTGTCTGCATTGTTTTCAATATCGTAGATTCACTTTGAATACACTTCTTAAATTTGTCTAATTAAGCACAGAAGAACTGAAGATTTGAATTATTCCCTCGGCCTTCTCTTGTTTGGGTGTTTTGAACAAATGTTTATGAGCCTTTGTCACTGAATTCCTGAACTGAAGAGCTCAACAAAGAAGAGGCCTCTGTAAAAGTAAAATTTATCACACGCCTACAAGGTGCTGAGGATCCATCCTCATCAAAGCAGAAATGAACAGAAATGGGCACAGCTTTGTGGCTGGCCCAGCTTTGGGATGGGCCCTGGGCCTGGAGCAGGAGCAGCTCTTGAGGGCCCCAAGGCCGGGGCTCTTGTGCTGCCCTGGGCAGATGGGATGGCAGCAGGGGCTGCAGAGCTCTCAGCATCTCCTGCAGAGGAGAGCAGGGCACCCAGGGAGCCTCCTTTCCCTTGGCCAGGCACATTCCCCCATGCTGGGGCTGAGTCCTGTGGCAGCTGCAGCTGCTGCTGTGCCCTTGCCAGGGGCTGAGGCCGTGGGGCAGTGCCCAGAGCAGCCTGGCCTGAGCAGAGCTGTGGGGCCAGAGCCGGCTGGGCTGGGCTGGGGAGAGGCCCTTGGTGCTGCCCAGAGCTCAGGGCAGCTGGCAGAGCTTGCAGGGAGCTGGGCTGGGCTCAGAGAGCCTGGCCCAGAAACCATCAGTGTCCATCTCAGCCTGGCTGAGCCTGCAGGGGCCAAGAAGAGCAGCCCAGGGTCTGCAAGTTCTCTGGGTAGCAGCTGAGCTTGTGAGCCCTTGAGCCCTGCCAAGTGCTGGGGCTGCACCTCCAGCTCCAGAGGAGATGGGACAGATGAGAGCAGGGACAAATCATTCCTGCTGGATTCTTTCTTGTGTTTGCTTGTACAGTGACCAGGATCCATATTTAGAGGAGGTGTTTTGTGTCAGATAACACTGGTAGAATGAAAAGAATAATATTATGAACCTGAAAATAATATTTCATGCATAAGACACACTGAGGAAACAAAAGACACATATGATCAGAAGAGCAGCTGAGTTTTTTAGAGGATGAGAGACCCATTGATGTTCAAACCTGTAGTCAAACCTGTTCAAATACTTTCCTCAGGCCTTTCTTGAGATGAGAGGTGACCAACAGAGGCCAAGGCCAGCCAGAGCTCTCTGTCCTGGCAGCTTTTGTCATGGATTCCCTTGCATATAGGGAATTTTTCAGAGGGAGCATCAGTTTTGACTGTGAGAACCTGGGAAGACAGATGGTTCTTTTCCACATTAAGGAAAGCACAGAGTCCCAGTTCTCCAGGGGCTGATGAGAGGCAGCCCTCAGCATTCTAAGATCAGCTGGACCTTTTCAGTGGCCCCTTGGAGGCCAAACCAGCCAAACCTGTTCCATCTCCCCTTGGTTCCATGAGGCCCTGCAGTGTCACAATGTTCTCCTTGCTTCTGCAGTGTGGCCCCGTGCTTCCATGAGACCGTGCAGGGTCACAGTGGCCCTTTGGTTCCGTGGGGCCCCACAGTGTCACAATGGTCTCCATGATTCCATGGGGCCTTGCAATTCCACAATGCTCTCCATGGATCCACGGTGCCCTGCAGGATCACAACGGCCCTTTGGTTCCACGAGGCCCTGAAATGCAGCAATGGCCTCTTGGTTCCACAAAGCCCTGCTGCTTCACACTGGCCCCTTGGGACCATACGGCCCAGCAGAGCCACAGTGATGGCCTTGGTACCACGAGGCCCCACAGTGTCACCATGATCCCCACAGGAAGGAAACCACACAGCCCCAGTGTTTCAGGAGCTGATGAACTGCAGTCACCAGAGGCCAAGGCCAGGCCTGTCTGTCTGTCCTGGCAGCTTTGTCTTGGAGGAGCTCTTGGATATTGGAAATTTTGAATGTGGAATCCCAATTTCAGCCATTTCTCCCTGGAGGAGAAGGCCAGTTCTTTTCCACAGAAAGGAAAGAATGGAGCCCCTGTGCTTGGAAGACAGGTGAGAGCCAGCCCTCAGGAGGCCAAGGCCAGCCAGACCTGGCTGGACAGGCAGCTTTTGTGTAGAAGCAATCAATGGATATAGGACTTTTGCAGGTGGAATCCCAATTTTAGCCATGAGCACTTGCAAAAACATAGTTCTTTTCCATAGGAAGGAAAGGGTGGAGCCTCAGTGTTTGAAGGCAGGTGAGACCGAAATTTCAGGAAGACCAGGTCAGCCAGACTTGCTGGCAATGGCAGATTTTGTCTGGGAACAATCCCTGGATATTGGGAATTTTGGAGACGGAATCCTTTTTTGGCCATGGATGCTTGAATGAGAAGGGCAGTTCTTTTCCAATTGAAGGAAAGCCCAGAGCCCCAGGGTTTCAGGGGTACAAGAGAAGAGACCTTCAACATGCCAAGGGCAGTTGGACCAGTCAGACCAAGCCAACCAGACCAGTTCCCTGTTCCCTTGTTTCCATGAGGCCCTGCAGTGTCCCAGTGGTGGTGTCATATTGGATCCTTGGTTCCATCAGGCCCAGATGTGTCACACTGGCCTCTTGTTTCCATGGGGCTCCAGTGTCACAATGGTCCCTTGCTTCCATGAGGCCTGGCAGTGTCACAGGGGTTTCCTTGGTGCTGCAGTGTCACAATGGACCCTTGTTTCCATGAAGACTTGCAGTGTCACAGGGGTCTCCTGGACCCATGAGGCCCTGCAGAGCCCCTTGTTTCAATGAAGCATCAAATTGTCAGAATGGCCTCCAGGATTCCATGAGGCCCCACAGTGTCCCAATGGACCGTTGGTTCCATGGGGTCCTGCAATGTTCATGGATCCTTAGTTCCTGCAGTGTCACAATGGCCTCCTTGGTTCCATGGTGCCACACAGTGTGACAACTTCCCCTTGGTCTGCCAAGACTCCAGAGTGTCACAATGGTTCCTTGCTTGCATGAGGCCTTCTAGTGTCACAATGGTCTCCATGATCCCACAAGGCCTTGCAGTGTCACAACAGACCATTGGTTTCATGGAGCCCCAGAGTGTCACTATGGTCCCCTTGATTCCACAAGGCTCTGAAGTGCCACAATGGCCCTTTGGTTCCACAAGGCATCCAAGTGTAAAAATGGCCTCCATGGTTCCATGTGGCCACGCTGTGTCACAATGGACCTTAGGTTCCATGATGCCCCAGAGTGTCACAACGGTATCTTGGTTCCACAGTGTCAGAATGGACACTTCATCCCATGGACACCCACAGTGTTCACTGCAGTCCCCTTGATTCCACCAGGCCCTGCCATGCTCTAATGGCCCCTTGGTTCCACTGGGTCCCAAAGTGTCAGAACAGTCTCCATTGTTCCATAAGGCCCCGCAATATCACTGTGCTCCCCTTGGTTCCACAGGGCCCCACAGTGGAACAATGGACTCTTGGTTCCATGAGGTTCCTCAGTCCCAATGGTCTCCTTGGATCCGCAGTGTCACAATTGCCCCTTGGCTCTGTGTGGCCACTCTGTGTCACAATGGCTCATGGTTCCATGAGGCTACACAGTTTAAAAAAGGACCCTTGGTTCCATCAAGCCTTGCTGTGTCACAATGGACTTCTGGTTCCATGAGCTCTCACACTGCCAGCAGCAG